GTTTTGTTAAGTGCTGGAATGATTGCAATTGTGTGGGGTTTAGTAGCAGTACCATCAATGGAAGTGGTTGTGTAATTTGGACAGGTATCAATAGTTTTTTGGTTAATCGTCATGATAACTCTACGTCAAAGTATGTGATCAGCCAAAATCTAGGCAATCGAAATACAGGTAATAAGGTTGATTTCTAATGGTTTTTGCTACCATTTAAACATCCGTAAAACTAAACAAGCCAAAATGCAGGAAACAAAACACAAAAGAACAGGAATTGGATATGGATATCCATTAGCGTTTCCATTCTTCTTGTTTTCCTTTGTTTTGGGGCTTTATGGTATATAAGAAGAGAAAGCATAGACAAAAAGGTATAGAAATAGCAACGATATTAAAAATAGCTTATGTTTGTACTTCTAGTTGCATCTTCTGTTAAGTCACTGAGATTGATTGTAGAATACGAGAGACGGAAGAGATGAATATTTCTTGGAGCTGACTAATAGAATCAGGCAAAAATCGTCCGTTCCCTCTTATTCACGTGAATATAAATAGGTTACAATATTTACACTTGACAACCTCTCAAATACAAATAATACAATCTATCACAATATATATGATATAATCGGCTAGTCTAATATACCCCCTCAGTCTAAGGAGGAGGTTGACGAATGCTTAGACTGGAACGGAAATCATCGAATAGGACACGAGGTAGGCCTTTTGTAAAAATGTCAGCAAACTGATATCTTGAGGGTACATGTAACACTCGAACCTGCCCTCTTTGAACTTTCTCCCGAACGAAATGAATATCAATCTCAATATGCTTGGTACATTGATGCTGAATCGGATTCTGAGATAAATAAATGGCGCTTACATTATCACAATAGACCAAAGACGTGTGTCGAGGTGGTAGACCAAGCTCTAAAAGCAGATTACGTATCCAGCAAATTTCGGCGACTACATTAGCGACCCCTCTGTATTCCACCTTAGCGCTCGATCGAGAAATAGCTGTTTGACGTTTAGATGACCAGGAAATCAAGTTGTCCCCCAAGTAAACACAGTAGCCTGAGGTAGAACGACGGGTGTCCGGGCAACCCGCCCAGTCTGCATCAGTGTAGGACACAAGGTTGGTTGGTGTACTGACATTCATGTATAATCCCATATGCATTGTGCCCTTAACATATCGAATTATGCGTTTTAGAGCGTTCTAGTGGGCAAATCAAGGTGCATGCATGTGCATGCAAACTTGCTGAACAGCGTAAGATATGTCGGGCCTGGTGAATGTTAACTACTTAGTTTTCCGGCTGTGTCTACCAGCGTGTGTACAGGGTTACAATCTCCCATTTTGGCTCGTGCTATTATTTCTGAAGCGTATTTAGCTTGAGACAGGAACATGCCGGTAGTGTCACGTTTGACCGAGATGCCAAGGAAGTAATGTAAGGGACCTAAGTCCTTCATGGAAAACTCAGATGAAAGGCATGATAGAAGTTGTTGGTGAAGAACCGAAGAAGAGGCGGTGAAGATGATATCGTCTACATATAAGAGGAAATAAGCAGTGTCAATGCCATGGTTGTAGACAAATAAAGAGTGATCACATGTGCTATGCCGAAAACCGAGAGTCGTAACGTAGTCTGTGAAGCGTTGGTACCATGCGCGGGGTGCTTGTTTCAAGCCGTATAAGGACCGCTTTAATCTGCAAACATGATTAGGAAATCTAGAATCTCGAAAACCAAGGGGTTGATGCATAAAAACAGTCTCAGAGAGGTGCCCATGAAGGAAGGCATTTTTGACGTCGAGTTGGTTGATCGCCCACTTTTTGTATAGAGCAATGCTGAGAACCGTCCGGATGGTAGCCGGTTTAACGACCGGGCTGAAAGTTTCCTCGCAATCGACACCCACCTGTTGAGACCTGCCATCACAAACCAAACGCGCTTTATAGCGCTCTAAGGAACCAAACACGCTTTATGTTCATGTTGGAGCGACGAGGTACTAAATCCCAAGTATTATTATCAATAAGAGCGTTAAACTCGTCAGTCATGGCATGGTTCCACTCAGGTATGGATAGAGCATCAATGGGGTTGCGAGGGAAGGGAGCAATGGTGGTGGCGGTAGAAGTATGTAAGGATAAAGGTTGTTTTGGTTTAGTGATGTCGGACATACTCCGGGTGGTAATGGTGCGAGTTGGTGGAGGTGGAGGTGGTGGATTGGGAATATGAGTGGGTGATTGGGCGTTGGTTGTAGGAAGTGGTGATATGTTTTGTTGAGTGTTGGTCTGCCGGCGACGAGAATAAGTATGGATGAGGGGTGGTGCATCGGCGGTAGTAGTGGAATTTATAGGTGTCGGAGTCTTTGGGGATGTGGGTGTGAGTCTACTTGACTCGATATTCTGAGAAGAGTTGGGAGAGGTTGGAGTGGAACAGGAGATGTTTGGTCAGTGGGATAGTTAACCGAATCCCAGACGGTTGGATGTGGTTCGGTTGTGAGTGAATGTTGAAGGAAGTCATAGACGGGAGGGGACGAGTGAAGTTTAGCAAATGGGAAAACATGTTCATCGAATACAACATGTCATGATATTATGATCTTGCGAGTGGAAAGTTCGTAGCATTTATACCCCCTGTGATTGGAGGGATATCCAAGGAAGACACAAGGAGAGGATCGGTTTGCAAGTTTATGACTGGAGGTGGAAGGTGTAAGAGGATAGCATAGGCAACCGAAAACTTTAAGATGATCATAGGTGGGATGTTTGTGAAAAAGAAGGAAAGTAGGAGTAGAATAGTGTTTTGTTTTGTGTGGAAGAATATTGAGAATGTAAGTGGCCATTTGAAGGGCATGGTGCCAAAAGGTGGTAGGGAGAGACGCGTGAGCAAGGAGAGTACGAACCATGTTATTGATGGTGCGGATGGTTCGTTCCGCTTTTCCATTTAGGCGGTGATGTGTGAGGACAAGAAAAACGAAACTGCATACCATTAGTAGTGCAGAAGTTATGAAAGGACTTGTTGTTATATTCGGTGCCATTGTCACACTGGAAACTTTTGATGGGACGTTCAAATTGAGTGGTGATGTGTTTATAGAAGTTGAGAAAAACAGAGAAGACTTTTGATTTGTTGGATAGTGGGTAGGTCCATAAATAATCAGTTTAATCATCAATAAACAACACATAATAACGGTGACCTCCTGAGCTAAGAACGGGTGAGGTCCATAGATCACTATGAGCAATATGAAAAGGTAAAGATGTAAAGGATGTAGAAGCATAAAATGGTAACTTGATATGTTTTCCATATACACAAGATTGACAAATATGTTTATTAGAAAAAGAACGAACAGAAATAAACTTGTTTTTATTTAAAACACGTAAAGAAGAAGATCCGGGATGTCCCAAGCGATGGTGCCAAAGATCTTGTGACAAAGCAGCAAATGTGGAAGGACATGTGACATGTGCATTTGGCAGTGAAAGAAGGTAGAGATCTTCGGTGCTATCACATCGGAGGATAGGAATCTGCGTCTGGTAATCCTTCACAAGACAACCAAAAGGGTCAAATTCAATAGTAACAAAATTATCAGTGGTAAGGCGACGGACAGACAAAAGGTTTTTAATGAGGTTCAGAGCATGCAAAATATTTAAGAGTTTGAGAGGTGGGAAGGGAGGCTGAAGTGTGGTGTGTCCAGAGCCATGAATCGGTATGTGTGAACCATTACCAACGACAATACAGTTTGGTCCGCTATTATTAACATAAGTTGAGATTTTACCTGTGGTATTTGTCATGTGATTGGTGGCGCCTGTGTCAAGATACCAGTTGGTGTCCTGATTCAGTGTCATCGTGTGCATGGCCTGTTCGATATTAGTGGGAGTGTAAGCTTCAGAGGTAGCATAAGCATGTGCAGGAGAAGGACCCAAAATGCCGGCTGCTGGTGGGCGAAACTGATAACGAGGAGCTGTAGGGTATGGAACCGGTGGAGAGTTCCAAGTAGGGCCATTCCAGTTCATCCATGGCGGGTGTTGCTGTTGAGTGTACGATCCGCGCCCACGACCGCGTCCCCGACCCCTTCCGCGCATGCCCTTGCCCCTGCCATGATGAAAACCTTCGGAGGTGCCTCTAACCGAAGACCGAGGATGATGAGATTGGGGTGTATCTGATATATCACGCTGGTCATGACTGCCAGAAGGCACGACATTAACTGATGGCGGTGCGACAGTGGTGACGGATGAAGCAGTAAGGGCGTTGCCAGTGGGTGTTTGTAGAGATTTCATGGTTTCTTCAAGACATAACTTTGATCGGGTGGTGTAGAAGTCGGGAAGCGGTGTAGATTGTTGGAGAAGGGTAGCAATGCTATCGTATTGATCCGTAAGGCCAACGATGAGTTGCAGTACCAAACGTTGATTATCAACAGGAGCATCCACATCAGTGAGTTGATCTGAAAGGTTCTTGACTTCTTGACAGTAGGCAGCCATATTGGCAAAGTTTTCAAGTTTGGTGTTGGTGAATTTTTGTTGAAGGTAGAGAGCTTTGGCAGGTTTACTATCAATGAAGATATGCTCTATTGCTTCCCAGACATCAGCTGCGGTGGCTCCTGGAGTGAGGATGGTGATAAGTAAATCTCTAGATATTGTCCCATATATCCATTGCAGAACAATGGCATCTAGGTGGGACCATTGTTCATTGGTCTTGACAGCAACATCTTTATCTTTTTCACTGGTAGAAGAGGGAGTGACTTTAGCAGGAGGCAGGATATGATCGAGTACCTGGAAAGCACGACAATGGATTCTGAATAGTTCAGCCCAAGATGTATATTGTCCGTTTTCGATCTCAAGAGTAATAGGAATGTAATTGCGGATGTTTGATACAGCAGGATGAAGAGGAGTTGACATTGGATTAGATGAGATCCAATGAGTAGAACAGGAAGAAGAGATGAGAGGGACGATGATTTGCAACTAGGGTTGAAGAATTTCGGCTGCTAGGTTTCACAGAGAAGGCGTCGCTCTGATACCATAATAGAATCAGGCAAAAATCGTCTGTTCCCTCTTATTCACGTGAATATAAATAGGTTACAATATTTACACTTGACAACCTCTCAAATACAAATAATACAATCTATCACAATATATATTATATAATCGGCTAGTCTAATACTGACAGCTTCTGAAAGCTTCAAGGATGTACATCAGCTTGAATCAAATGGTGTGAAAGGAAATGATTTGTTATTATTTAGCTTTTCCTCTATCATGGCTGCCACAAATGATTTTTCATTTCAAAATAAGCTGGGACAAGGTGGTTTTGGTCCTGTTTACAAGGTTACACTTATGCCACTTCAAACTTTTATCACTTGTTAGTTATTGCATTTATATATCTATTTAACTAAAAGATATATCATACAATTATGAAAACAGGGAAAACTAAGTGATGGGCGACAAATTGCAATCAAAAGGCTTTCAAGAACATTAAGTCAAGGGCTTGTGGAATTCAAGAATGAACTAGTACTCATAGCTAAACTCCAGCATACAAATCTTGTTCGGGTTCTTGGTTGTTGTATTCATGGAGAAAAAAAGATGTTAATATATGAATATATGCCCAACAAAAGTTTAGATTTCTTCGTATTTGGTATGCATTGTTTGAGACATAAGTGCATTCAGTTCTTTAATTTACTTGTGATATGCATTGTTTGAGACATAAGTCCATTCAGTTCTTTAATTTACTTGTGATATTCATTATAGCCTCTTTCACTGGCTTGCAGATGAAAACAGAAAGACAGTTGGATTGGCCTAAACGATTTATCATTATTGAAGGAATTGCTCAAGGGTTGTTGTAGTTGCATAAGTACTCAAGAATGAAAGTTATTCATAGGGATCTAAAAGCTAATAACATTCTTTTAGATGAGAGGATGAACCCCAAGATTTCTGATTTTGGTATGGCAAGAATATGCGAGCAAACTGACACAGAGGCAATGACTAACAGGGTGGTTGGAACATAGTAAGTCATATCTCTTGATGTATCAAAAATCTCATTGAGTTATACGCTTTCAATGTCAATCTATCATCAAAAAGTTAGATTTAATATTACCAAAGAGAACTAGCACAATTATACAAATCTAGATAGAGTATCTTTTAGATGAATTTGTTGTTTTTCTGATTCAATGCTATCTATTACTAAAAAGTCTTGCTGACTATTTTGTATTCAGTGGTTATATGTCTCCTGTGTACGCAATGAGGGGGATTTTCTCAGTCAAGTCCGATATCTTCAGCTTTGGTGTCTTGATCCTGGAAATCATCAGTGGAAGAAGAAATAGTAGCTTTGTCCATCTTGATGAGACATACAGCCTTATTGGATATGTAAGTAAAGTCAAATTCAAATTTTAACATCTTTAACATCTTAAATAAAAATGAGACCATCTTACATTATTCACTCACACAATTATATATTACGGTTGACCTATATATATATATCCACGATGTCCAAACAGCTTAACAGATACACGCTACAGAAGCAAAGGGGAATTTACTAGTTTACTTTTATTACGTGTTAACCAGTTTAACCTTACCACTTTGTTGGAAAGTAATCAAGGGAAAATTGATCAAATCATTAATCATCTGTTAGTGATTTAGGCATGGGTGCTATGGAAACAAGGGGATACATTGGAATTGAAGGACCCATCACTTGGAAATACTTGTGATGAACAACAATTCTTGAGGATTGTTCATGTTGCCCTTCTGTGTGTACAAGAGAATGCAATAGATAGGCCAACAACATCCGAGATGATCTCCATGCTTCTCAATGATTCCATATCATTACCCACTCCAAACAGACCAACATTTCTGATAGGTGGAGGGGACTCAAAGTCAACTTCATATGAAACCAAAGCAGAAGATTTCTCTGTGAATAATGTGACCATCTCTGTTGTTGGGAGTCGATAGGGTATGAACGTAGCTTCAGCATATCATTCTTTGTGAAAAACTTTTTTGTAATATAATTTATATTTATTCACTTTTGTAGGAGATGCAAATCCATTTTTCTATACTTGTTAATTGTTATATGCATGGAGAATTGCCACATCAGAATATAAAGAACACTCTTCATACGTCTATCCATATTATATATGTCGATAAAGAAGTAAAGAACATCTTGTGCAAGCTTGTGGATATAGTAGATTCATTATTAGCTAAATTTCAACGTTTTCTCAGTCGACTAGGAAGTCTGGTGTTTATGCAGCCTGATTCGGGAAGACTGGTCACTAAATAGAAGCATCATCGAAATGTGATTGGGCTGCATTTGTGGAAATATATAACTAATTTATAAATATCATCCCTTCATAGATTTTTACATTCCTTTATTAGTTTAGGTTTTAAATCATGTTAATTTGTCTCTTCAATTTCCTCATGGTGTCAGTCAATTGTATACACAATATTCACAAGAGCAACCAAACATGTTTAAATTCAGTCAAGCGGAATCTGAGATTTCATTCCATCACTTTCCAAAAAAACTGAATATCCACCACCAAAAGCAACCGTGACCATAAAGATCTTGGTTGCCCCAAAGTCCAATCAATATGGATACAAGTTTGGGCACCAACCCATGAGTAAAAGCACCAAATAGAAAATCCAAGTGTTTATCTCAACAACTCGTCTAAAGCTATAGAAAAAAATCAATAGAAAGGATTTAGTAATAATATAGTGATTCCACAACAATGACTATGATACACTATCGAGCCTCCATTACTGTAATGGTCATATTGTTTATAGAATAGTCCTCTAACTTTCTTTCAACTGAAGTTGACTTCGAGGCACTTCTGCCAATGAAGAATGCTGGCTGCTTTGGGACAGGTAATGACATTGAGTCATTGTTAAGCATAGAGATCACCTCCGACATCTCTGGTCTATCCAATGCGTTTTCTTGTACGCAGAGAAGTGCCACATGGATACTCCTTAATAATTGGTGTATGACATGAGAATTTGCTAGAGTTGGGTCCTCTAACACCAATGCATCCCATTTTAGCCATAGCTCCCATGCCTAAAAGTATTCCAAATTCTTCAATCAGTACATGTAATTCGACTTTTCAAGTCAAAAAAAATATTATGCTAATGTAGGGGATGTAAAAACAGTATATTACAAGTGAACTTACGTATCTGATAAGATTGACGGTTTTGTCAAGATAGGAGAAGCTTGTATTTCTTCTTCCACTGACAATTTCTAAGGTTAAGACTCAAAAGCTGAAGACATCAGATTTCACGAAGAAAGTTCCTTCCATTGGATACTCGAGAGACATGTAACCACTGTGTAATGTATTTCACGTAGATTCAGTACCTTAAAGACCAAATATCACTCATACTTTCGAGGTATATATTAATGTCTCCATGATCCCATTTTATTATCTCTTACATGTAGTATTGAAACTTAAAATCAATTATGTTCCAACCCTATGGTGTAAGGTAAACAGGATTATTTGACAAAATATCCAACATAGAGAAGTAAAAGAGAAAAAGCACTATTCTTACTATGTTCCAACCACCCTATTGGTAATTGCTTCGGTCTCATTTTGTTTGAAGATTCTCGCCATACCAAAATCAGAAATCTTGGGGTTCATACTTTCATCTAACAAAACGTTACTTGCTTTTAGATCCCTGTGAATAACTCACATTCTTGAGTATTTATGTAAGTAAAGCAACCCTTGAGCAACCCCTTCAATGATGTTCCATCGTTTCGGCTAGTCTAGCAGTGTCTTTCTTGTTTCATCTATGCAATTGTTTTAACAAGTCATTTAAACCATAGTTCTATTGAAGCTAAAATCATTGTAGAAATATATTGTAGATTTTTTAATTTTTTTTCTTACCAAAGTGAAAGAAATCCAAGCTCTTGTTCCGCATGTACTCATAAATCAACATTTTTTCTTCTCCACAAATAAGATCTTGTTTAGTAAGATGGAAGAGAGAAAACTATTAGCATTTTCTGAAAACACAATAAATATTAAAGATAAAAGTACCTTATAAACAGGTCCAAAACCACCCTCTCCGAGCTTATTTTCACTTGCGAAGTCATTTGTGGCTGTCACAATGGTAGCAAAGCTGAACACCATCAAGTCGCTTCCTTTTTTGCCATTACTTTCAAGATTACTTGCATCCTTGAAGCTGTCAGAAGCTATTAGCTCCAAGAAATATTCATCATCTCTCTTTTTGTCTCTTTTCCTCTTCAATAAAAAAATCATGGCTTAGAAAGTGAAATTGTTTTAAACAACTCAAGCATACCAAAAGAACGTGTAAAATGTCATACCTTCTCGTCTAAGCTTATTCTTCTTTAGATACCACAGTAGACCAGCAGAAAAGAGAAGTAAAATAATGGAAGCAACAATGGGTGCCCAGATCCAGTTTTTAGCATTTCCTGGTGTATAATTAATTTAAGCTATATATTAATAATCAAACTGTATGTGGACTATATTCATGTCACTCAAGAGTTTAGAAAATATGTTGGTTTAAAGCTATGAAAATACATAACAATTAACAAGTAACCCAGAAACCATTAAATCAATCACAACTGTTTACCTTTACTTGGATTTGGAGAAATTATCGGAATTGGAGAAATTAAAACATACTTTAATACAGCACTCCCTGTTGGACTGATTGAAAAGTTATCGACTGATTTAGCTCCAGTCCATGTAATATAACCAGTTCCATTGCTACTTGTGGTAAACCCAAGACAGCTACAATCATTCCAGCACCTCACCATACAATCGCTCATACTTAGGCTTGAATTGTCATCATTCGAGCTTCTCGTCATAGGTGCAAAATCTCCATTCAACTAGTTAAACTTATCATTCTCATCCCTACACTGAATCATATTAGAATCTTCCACACACCCGTCACCCAAATCATACCCATAACAGAATTTAGTAGTCCAAACTGCATAGTTATCCGCATCTTGAACTCGGCCACCTGGAGTCAAAAACCACATGGGTTAAACGCCATTGATTCCATGGAAACTAAAGTACCTCTTGTCACACCCCCAAACCGGAACGGCGAAAACATTCGGGGGCGGAGGACGTCATGTGTAGTATCACAACAATTGCATAATAGAAATCAAAGTACAACAACCATGTATATATAAAATATAAGTTTTACATTTGTGTTCAAAACCATTGTATACATGATAACATAATGTATATCATAAGTTAAAATGACATTAGTCTATGAAGCTCCATCTTCTTGAAAACCTGTGGATACCTGCTTATTGTTTGCCTGAGAATACAAGTGATTTTGAAAAGAGTGTCAACAATTAAGTTGGTGAGTTCATAAGCATGTTTGTAACTGGAAATCAGTCATCTGTTCCTTGAAAATGTAAGTTTGTTTTCCCCAGAAAATCCCATATTTTCTGTTGTAAATGTTTGTAGTCTTAATACCCTAAGACCGAAATGTGTAGTTGTTACTGTACTCTGAAATAGTATAGTGTAGTTTTAACTCACATAAAACCATGAAATGTATGTTTTCTCTGTACTAGTACAGTATTCTGTATTTTTCTTTGTATGAAAAACTCTATAACTGTAAGTGTCTGGATTCACTAGCTGTACGGTAAAATACTGTATTATAGTTTTATTTTCAAATAAAACTATGTGAAGTTGTTTAATTATTCATGCACTAATCGTATTGTTCAATACCAAATTGTGAGTTATCATAACCATACTTGATGACATCGGAATGCCTGAACACGACGTTCTTCAGGCGTCGTAATTGGTACGACATTTGTCACCACACGCATGCCGGCCTAGCTGTTGCAAGTAGCTC